AATTAGAAAATAAAGAAATAAATGAATATTTTAGTCATCATAACTAAGTTTTCATTACAGTAAATTGTGTATAGATTTATCCCGCATGGGGAAAAGTTTTGGCATAGTACTTATGCTAGTCAATCCTGCATGGCGGGAGAAGTTTTATGATGATTCATATGTTTTGTATCCCGCATAGCGAGAGAAGTTTGGGTAGCTCTTATGCTGTCCTAGTATTGACTATAGCACAATAGAAATATATCGTCATGGTCAATACTAACCAAAAGATAAGAAAAGATGCAAGCGTGACTAGCAAAACTACTGCTAATGAAAGATCTTATTGAGTTCTTGAAGTGAAATAAGAAAAGTGTACTCCTAAACGATCAAGAAATAATTTTGTTTACATGACATAATCACGCGAATTAAGTAAGTTATAAGTGTCTCCTCGTTCACAGATTTTCTGAATAGTTCTCAAAATTATGGCAGTAAAGTTCATGCCATATTTCGAGGGAGAGAATATTAAGATCAATTAAGAAAAATACTCTTCATTAAGAGTGAGATAAAGATCAATTAAGAAAGATACTCTTCATTAAGAGTGAGATAAATATTAATTAAGATGAATGCAACCGTTGAAGGAGTACAACGGTCACAACAATGATACCCTTAAGCAGAGAAATAGTTAAATTTCTGGACCTTGTAACGTTCTGACAGGAAGATAGCGTAGTCAGCCTCAAAGATGTTAAGGTGGTGCTTAAAGCGCCATATGAGGTTTTAACAGATTGAACCCAAAATATGGGAGTAAAATATTTGAAGATACACTATCTTTAGATACACTATCTTTAGAAAATATGGGAAGATCTGGAGGAGCATGATATTGTTGACACAAAAATGTGGCGATGTGATCAACACACAGGAAGCCGAAAGATCTGAGTGGAACCAGACCAGAGATCTGCTTGACTTCAACACAGAACCAACTGATTCTTAAAACCCAACGACGTGCTAGTCAATTTAACCTGCAATTAACAAGAAGAGAAAATCTTATTAGTAATTTAAGGTGGAACATGTCGGTTTTGCACCAAATAGTTCTAAATGTACGGCTAGATAGCAAATTCAAAGAGGCTATCGGCTAAATAGTCGATATCCGGCGCATCCATAAGAAGCGATATAAGAAAAGCATGATCGGCTAAATAGAACATGATCGATATAAAGTGTTGAGCCGATAAATTTGATGAAAAAAATATAACATGCGAACAAATCAACTATCTAATATAAATGAATCTATAAATAGTTTGAATCTAATCTATTATCATCAACAATGAGGTTCGATCGGATCGATGCAGCTATTATAATGATAATAAACTAAATCCAAATAATCTATAAAATCATCTATATGTTGACAGATTCATGAAAACATGCTATATATGTGAGAGTATAGAAAAATCAGCTAAAATAGCCGATACAGTCATAGCAAACAAACAGATTACATATGTTGACCATAAAAAAGACCACTAATCGATAATTTCTAGTCTAAAGTCTTACCAGTGAGGTTCGATCGGATCGATGCAGCTATGGCAGTGTCATTAGATTATATCTCATTAACTAGTGAATTTATTTAAGATTGAAATATGTCTTTGAATGCATACTATGTTTGACTGGAATAGAGATAAAATAGCCGATCTAGCGAAATTAAGCCATCAATTATAAGATTTGAAGCATGAATATATCAAAGGACGACCAATTAAGATGATATGATGCCGATCTATCTCTATTTCAATCGGGTGATTTTATTGTAATTAATAAAATATTAATTATAGCAAGATCGATAACCGGTGAATCAACCAAAAACAGCAAGAAAAATCTTACTAATTTTAGCAGACTCGATAACTGGTGATATTGTATTAAACAAGTTATTTAACACAAGATCGATAATTTTGATCTATATTATGATTCGTAAGAGATCAATCAGCTGATGCAGCCTTATAAACTACGATACAGATCGATAACTAACTTATATTATGGCTCATAAAAGATTAATCAGCTGATCTAACTTTACAAGCACAATACAAGTCGTGACGGTACTCACAAGCAAGCTAGAGGTCGATTAGTCGATGCAGCCCTGTTTGCTGAAGAACTCGTCGAGATCTACAATACTCCTACTCCTAATACGATGGCGAAAGCTAGAAAGATTGTATTGATTGAATGTTCGCCCCCCTTTACAATAACCAGGGTCTAATATTTATATCCAGAACCTAAACATGAATCCTACTCAAATACGACTCATTACAATTCTTGGAATAAAAAAAAACTTTCTAACTTAATAATAATTTGGACTCTAATTTTTCTTATTTGTAGAGTCCGACACATCTTCCTGGCGTCATTCAAGTATAGTCCATTAACGCTGTCTGCTGACGTCATCCATAAAATAGCTGATTCTGACATTATATCTAAATCAGCTAATACCGATTCTCATCTAATCGATTCTTTGATGACACAATCCTGGAAGCTTCGAGTTCCTGCATTTTTTTCCCAAATTTTGGTGTAAACAGGTATGTAGAGACCTAAGACTTGAAGAGAAGAGGGACTGCGTGCCCACTCTAGTGACTTAGGAGCAACAAGTTTCTCAATACCTATTGATGTTGTATGACTAATACAACACATGTTGTTATCTCTTCGAAGAAGATAAACAATGTAAACAAGGATCTTGTAATACAGGAGTCTATAGAATCAATTGTCTCTTAGCAATGAAGAGTAACAACAGCCCCATATGAAAAGTGCCAGTAGCTAACGCCTAGAAGGTCTCAAAGAATTAGTAAATCAGTTTTTCTGATGACTATAAAGTCTATGTTAGTGAAGAAATTCAAATAGAGGGTGATCACATCTCATTTGAAGAAGTCATAAGAAGTGTTTACTCGTCTAAATGGCAAGAAACTATGAAAGTTGAAATGAATTCGATGAATACCAATGATGTTTGAGAGTTAGAAGAAATTTCTAATAGAGCCAAAACAGTAGGCTGTAAATGGGTCTACAAGATAAAATATTATTCCAAAGGGAATATAGAAAGATATAAAACACGACTTGTAGCGAAATACTTTACGCAAAGAGAATGAATAGATTACAATAAAAGTTTTCTCTCCAGTCTCATGCAAGGATTCTTCTAGAATCATAATGGTGTTATTGGCACGTTACGATTTAAAGTTACATCAGATGGATGTAAAGACGACATTTGTCAACGGAGATTTGTATGAAAAAAGTTTACATGGCACAACCCAAAGGTTTTGTCGTGAAAGAAAAAGAACGTATGCGATGTCGCCTGTAGAAATCTATTTATGGGTTAAAATAAGTCTCTAGACAGTAGTATTTAAAGTTGATGAAACGATAAGAAAGTTTGGGTTTAAATAAAATGAGAAGGACAATAGCATTTATACGAAGTTCAAGAATGGAAAATTCATTTTTCACATCCTGTATATAGATGATATTCTACTCACTAGTAGTGATGTTAATCTGCCATTGGAGAAGAATAAGTTCTTGTCCTCAAATTTAAATATGAATGATTTTGGTCAAGTAGAAATTCACCGAGATAGAAGAAAATGAGTATTAGGACTATCGCAAAGACATACTTAGAAAAGATTCTAAAGAAATAAAGTATGCATGCGAGTAAACCTACGCCTACTCCTATAGTCAAGGGTAATAGATTTGGGAACTTTAAGTGTTCCTAGAACCGATATAAGATCGATCAAATGAACATGGTTTTTATATGCTTCAGTTGTTGGAAGCTTAATGAATGTAGAAGTAAGAACTTACCCCGAAGTAGCTTACATATCTAGGATATTTTGGCAGAAGTCCAGTCCAGATATAGATCACTGGAATTGAGTTGAGAATGTCTTGCAATTTTGCAGAGTATTATGGGCCTCATGCTGAGTAAAAAAGAATAAGTACTCTCAAATAGTTGTGGGTACAAAATGTTAAGTTATGACGAGATGTGTAGTGAAATTCATAGTAGTTGCTAACACTCGCAGTTGGAGTATTATTGTGAAAAAGCTTCAATGAAACAGTTGTGGTGTCATCAATGATGCATACCATAGTATAGTTTGTCATGAGGCCTCAGGACCAGGCAAAAGTAGGGAATATGTATCCGAATTTAACAATGGTAGTCAACAGCAATAACCATTTAAAATAGTTAACTCCTAAGACAACAGATCAAGTGTGCTGCCAAACACATTGACATTAAGTTATATGTTGCAAAGGAGAAAATCTAGAATCATTTTAAAAGCATTGAACATATAAGTACCAAGCAAATACTTGCGGATCCGCTTATCAAAGACTAACTCCCCAGTGCGTTCAGAGAACACACAGTCGACATGGGTTTACGGGAAAGCCTATGATATCTGGATATTAAGGGCCTAGTTGAGAATCTGTTTCAAAACAGCGAGGTGCATTGTAACTGTTTAATCTAATGGCAACTGACCGTGACGATGAGGCACGCTCTATGCACTTATCTGCGATGGAATGAGAAAAAGATAAAGTAAGTTAAGTTTAAGTCATAAAGTGAGATCAAGGGGGAGAATGTTAGATTGATCACCATCAGTTGACCCAACAGTCAATTGGGCCCTTGATCCGCGCCCTGATCGGGGGCGTCTAGCCGTTCTCCTGGCTGATGGGTCCCCGTTGCGCAGCGCTATAAAGAGGAAGATAGGGGCCGGGGCGCAAGACACGAGATTCGTCCCAGCCGCCAGCCCCACCGAGGTTACTAGCCCTAGTCCGATCTAAAGAGCGCTCTGTGAGCGACGGGAAGTACCATCGCCTTCGTCGTCGCCACTGGACCGTGCCTGCACAGGAAGCACCATCGCCTTCGCCGCCGCCACTGGACCGCGCCTGCACGGCTTCCCCTACTTCGACACTAGTGGCCACGTCGCTCCGACGTCATGGCCGCGACTACGCTTGGCGACCCAAGTCTTCTATTTAAACTAAGTATTACCCACTGATCTATACCTAGATCTATACATGGAAGTACTTTCAGATTCATGGCCAACAGCCTGGAGGGACCGATTCCAGCAAGCATGGGAGATTTGGGGAAACTGTCGGTGCTAGATCTTTCTGTTAACAGACTCAGTGGGGTGATCCCAAGAGAAATCATGAGCCTATCATCACTGTCACCGTATTTGGATTTGTCTGATAACTTGCTGGAGGGACCTCTTCCCTCAGAGGTTGGTAACTTGGTAACTCTTGGAGTGCTCTCTCTATCGAGAAACCGACTGTCTAGTATGATACCTGATGCCATCAGCAACTGCATAGTACTAGAAATCCTCCTAATGGATGGCAATTTATTACAAGGAAACATCCCTCCTGGTTTGGGGAATATAAAAGGGCTTACTTTACTGAATTTGACAGGCAATAAGCTGAATGGAAGCATTCCTGAGGATCTAGGGGATATTACCAGCTTGCAGCAGCTATGCCTTGCCCACAATAGTCTATCAGGACAAATTCCACGACTCCTAGGTAATCAAACATCACTGCTCCGTCTCGATCTGTCCTTCAACAATTTACAAGGTGAAGTACCACAGGACGGAGTTTTCAGGAATCTAACTGAACTATCAATAGTTGGAAACGATAAGCTATGTGGTGGAATACCACAGGTTCATCTGCCAAAATGCCCAAACTCTGCTGCAAGGAACAATAAGAAACCCACGCCAATCTCGCTTAGAATAGCATTGCCTACGATAGGAGCTATACTGGTTTTACTTTCAGTGCTTTCTTTAGCCACATTCCTTTACAGAAGGTCTATGGCAATGGCAGGAACCCAGCTGGAAGAAAAACTACCACCTCGTTTCACTGATATAGAGCTTCCAATGGTTTCATATGATGAGATACTCAAAGGAACCGATGGGTTCTCAGAACCCAATCTCCTAGGAAAAGGGAGATATGGGTCCGTATACAGTGGCACCTTACAAAATGGACGTGTTTCTGTAGCCATCAAAGTATTTAATCTTCAGCAATCAGGATCGTACAAAAGTTTTCAGGCTGAGTGCGAGGCACTGCGAAGAGTTAGGCACCGATGCCTTGTAAAGATCATCACATGTTGCTCGAGCATCGACCACCAAGGTAAAGACTTCAGGGCTCTAGTCTTCGAGCTTATGTGGATCCATTCAGATATGGAAAGCCAGAGCAGAAATGCAGCACTGACCTTAGAGCAGAGGTTAGGTATCGCCGTTGACGTTACGGATGCATTGGACTATCTCCATAATGGCTGCCATCCAATGATCATCCACTGCGATCTCAAGCCCAGCAACATTCTTCTTACTCAGGACATGAGTGCTCGTGTTGGAGGTATCGGCATCGCTAGAATTCTAAATGAAGTTGCAAGAGAAACTCGTGTGAATTCCAATAGTACCATCGGCGTCAGAGGTTCTATCGGATACGTTGCTCCAGGTAATTCAATATGCATCGATCCTGTCTACTTCACTTCCTGATCAGATTCAACTGGCTATACAAAGCTGTTTATTCTCCAAACTGTTTCAATTAATCTGCTGCAGAATATGGCGAAGGGCTTGAAGTATCAACTCACGGTGATGTTTACAGCCTTGGCATCGTTTTGATCGAGACGTTTACAGGAAGGCGCCCAACAGACGACATGTTCAGGGACACGGGTCGAACCTGCATTACTTTGCTGAGGCAGCTCTTCCTGCTAAGGTGATGGATTCCAGGATCTGGTTGTACGGTGAAGCAGAAAATAGCAATGCTACAGAACCAAGGAATGCTTGGCTGCTATTATGCAGCTTGGTGTGCTGTGCTCAAAGCAATCACCCAAAGATCGTCCGTCAACAAGCGATGCCGCTGTAGAGATGCGTAATATCAGAGATGCGTAATATCAGAGATACGTACATGCGGATGAAGTCATGCTAGATCATATCATCATACGGTTACGGACAGTAATAATCACCACAGATGAGGCCATCAGTGGGAACTCCATTGTAGTACGACACTCAGTCCAGTGACGGATCCACTCAAAAATTTTAAGGTCCTCGAACAAAAGTTGATGTTAACGTATCTCTAAATTTCTTTACGATCTTAAGTGTACTGTGATGTGCCCGACAATAGAGACGTCTAAAATTTATAGTGATCTCAAAAAGGTGTGTGGTGCATTAACGATCTTTTAGGGGGGCTACGATCCCCCGCCCCAGTCTTGAATCCGCCACTAATGACACTAGGTTAAGGTCATCGACCTAACATTAGTCCATTAACCCGTACTCTGGTACATGTTAAGGTCATCGACCTAACGTGATGTTTGTGTTTTTCTAAATTTCTTTACAACTTAAGTGTACTGTGATGTGCCCGACAGCGAGACGTCTATGATGAGTGATCTGCAAATAAGGTGTGTGTGCGCGTGCATTAACGATCTTTTAGAGCATACGATCTGCCATCTGAGTCTTCCGAAACATACTTTGCGCTTTATTTTGTCCTAGTCCAGAGTTCAAATTAAGAAACTTGTGGGAGTGAAGGTCAGAAGGTGAACTGATGTGAATGCTGGGCTAGCAAAAATAAATAGGCTTCCCAGGCCCAACAAGAAGCCCCTTTATTCCTTGCCCCCACGACGCGTCTTTGTAACGAACCGAACCGGAACGTAACCTCCCTCTCGTCAACGACCTCGTCCGTCGCGCCCGAGGCGAGGAAGCAACCCGCCCCCAGTTTTAAGCTATGGCGACGACGTGGTCGAGGCGCGTGTCGGTGCCAGCCCTGGCGGCCGCCGCCGCCGTGCTCCTGCTCGCGTCCGTAGCCGCGGGCGACGACCACAACGGCGTCTACGACCCCTGCGCGGACGCGTCGGTGCAGCGCGGCGACGGGTTCACCTTCGGGGTGGTCTTCTCCGGGCGCGACTCCTTCTTCTCTGGCGGCGTGCAGCTGTCCCCCTGCGACAGCCGCCTCGGTCTCGCCAACCGCGCGCCGCTCGCGCTCTATCGCCCCAGGTCGACGAGATTTCGCTCCTCACCGTCAACTCCTCCTCCTTCGACCCGGTGAGTCCCTCGATCGCCATGTTAATTATTAACTTCTTTGTGGATTTCGTGTTTAATTGCCAAAAGTTTGCGCGAGGTGTTATACGAATTATGGCATATGGATGCATATGACGAACCCTAGTTAAATGGGTATTTTGAACTCATGGCATAAGTGATCTATCATTAATTTCCTTTTCTTATACAGAAATAAATTTGCGAATGATGGTATTGGCTCTGCTAGGAAAATAAATTTAGGTTAATGATGGTATTCTTAACTGCGAAGAAAAACTTGAGTACAGTGCTTGCTAATGAGTTAATCAGAGAAGAACTTGTCAGAAACGTCGGTGACAACGGCCAGCTTGGAGGGGTTAAGCCAAATCATTGAGGGAGCTGGACGTTGTTGTCCCATCGACGTGTTGAGACAGTGCCACTTTCGAACGCATTTGTGTAGCTGAACAGGGGTAGGGCAAACTGTCCTTTGAAGCTGGGACACGCCTCGTGTAGTTCTGTGGTCCAAGTGTTTGGTTGTTAGCATTCATCTGCAACGCTGCAAATTTTGAATGTCTATAAACAAACTTGCTGATCTTCATGATGAAGGCTTTCACACCACCCAGTGTTTCACCAGCGTCGGTCGTCGGGATCGGGCGAGGGCTGCTTAGTGCCCACCTTCTTTCTCTTAAGTGAACCCATAGCTTCTGCATTTTTTTAGAAAAATGTTGAAGACATTCCCTTCTTTACGTATACCATGATGTGTGGCAGTGCCTTTTCTTTTCAAGAACAGCTGTGTAAATTTTCTTCAGTGATTTCTCACAACATTCGTATTCCAAAACAATGGACTCAAGGCATTAAAATTCAGTGCACCCTGATCTACAGCCGACAGAACCATAAAATGGATGAAAAAACGGCTGCATCCTTTTTCTGTGATGACCACCAGGGAAAACACAGCCTCTCTTGAAGCAATTGGCTTCGCTTAGTTCTAAACTGGCAATCAGCGTGGTATGATTGTTCCATGTTTGTGCCTTAGAATTATCAAACGGCGGTTGCTTGCTCTTCTTGAATGAATGATCGAATTGAATCACATCTAGTGACAAATGCACAACCCTTTCACCCTGTTCCAGTCTTCTTCTGGTGGGTACATGGTGGCCTTCGCCGGGAAGAAATACGCAGCGAGGTCACCCCCGGTGTTCGTCGCCAACATCTCGTACACAGTGACCGGCTTTACCCTGGTACGCCCACGAACTGTACAACCTTTTGCAGTTCATGACAGTTATTGCTCAAAAGGGACATGCATATAACTTGGCTAACCGATCGAGCTCTGGCTCCTGTTGCTGCACTGCAGGTCCTGGAGTTCCAGAAGGGCACGCTCCAGAACCTGTTCTGGAAGCCCGGCGGGTGCTCGTCGTGCTCGGGGCGCTCCGACTTCGCGTGCGTGGACGGCAGCTGCGCGATCAAGACGACGAGCTGCAGGGGCAAGGGCGGGCAGGTGGACTGCAACCCCGGGATCCAGCTCGCGTTCTCCGGCACGGACAAGCACGAGGCCGTGCTCAACTCGTGGTACGAGGTGTCCAAGCTCCGGCAGTACTCCCTGTTCGGGCTCTTCTCCAACCTCAAGGACTCGCTGACCAGTCAGTTCAGCAGCTTCTTCTAGAGCCTGCCCCGTGCAGTGCTAGCTGCCACGTCGCTCTGTACGCTTGCTCTGTCGTCTGTTCTATGGACTGTGGTTATCATGTAGAGTATGCTTAGTGAATACTCCTGTAGTTTTGTTTCTGATAGAAGAAATATGTATGCGTACAACGGCGTTCAGATCAGTCCTATGTATGTGCAGTTCATAATAATGCATATGAGACGGTGTAAGTTACGACGTATGCGTGATTTCGTTGATATTTATTTAGTTCTTCCGATTATCCTCCTGCACATGCCACTCGTGCTGCTGCGCGAAGCTGATCAGGGTTGTCCGGCCGTGCGCAGCGAGGAATTGGGCCGGCCCGTATGCGCCTGAGGTTTGACTCGACGTGATGGACACAGGACAGACACGTCAGTTGAGAGTTGCTTTGGAGAAAATGGGTCTGCGCCGGAATTCGCCTCGACCATTTTCTAGCGAGAGCCGTGCCCGTGCAATCGGCAACGGGCGCTATAGGTAGGGATCAAAGGTACGGATATTTTCTCACCGTATTTAAAACCAAATCTGTTTAGAGGGGTTGAGATCTGTCCGTATCTGAGTCTGTCTGGATATCCAACATCCGATACCATATCCGAATACTCAAATCACATATTTATGATGTCGATATCCAATCATATCCTATCCGACATAGTTGACACTATCTGTATTCGAATCCGAATCCGGACAGAAATATGAAAACAAATGTAATATCGGTGATATCCGTCCGTATCCGATCCGTTTTCATCCCTAGCTATAGGGGCGGGCGTCCCCCGCGCTCTCGGTGTGTATGGTCTGCCAGCAAATCGGACGGGAATTCTCTGCATCTGCCAAGGCGCTGGCGCACGACGCACCATGCATTCCACCAGCCAGCCCCCGTGGTGGGCTGCCCGCCTGCCCGACTAGGAGGATTACTGGTGAGAGTGAGACTACGTCAACTCTCAGGCGTGCGTGCTGCGCCGCTGGTCCCCTCTCTCGCCACGCGCCACCGCCATCGTCGGTTGCGCCCCCGCCGTTCCCGGCACCTGCAGCGCCCAGCTCATCGGCAGGACCCACGTCCGCTGCGACTCCGTCGACGTCCGCGACTCTATCGTCGGATAGGTAAAAATTGTGAATTTACAATGTGCCTACTTAGTTAACTTTGATTGTAGTGTAGTAGTTTGGCATTTGTTATTTACTAGTTAATGTGATGACTCAGGTAGTTGATTTAGTTAGTGATCTAGTGAGATATATATGTATATAGATAGAAACATAGATACATAAGTACATAGATATAGTTAGATAGCTACTTCGATAGGTAGTTATATATTTAGTTAACTAAATAGGACCTAGCTATTTAGTTAGTACACCGTATCTATGTATGTAGTTATTATCTTAGTTACTTAGTTTGTAGTTAGAAAGTACTTGTTAGGTAATATCTATCGTCTAATTTGGACTAAAGCACATGTGTTTCATTATGTGTTTAAACTAGATGGACAACCTAGTGACCATATATCATGGAGACACCGTTGAATATGATCGCTATGGATATGTTGAGTTTGTTGATATGCAAAGCGTGCCTGTGCTATTCAATGATATGCCTTCATTTAGTGAGATGATTGTAAGGGCTCGGGAGGAGCTGCATTGCCTTGGAGATGATGGCATTGCAGTTGAGGGTGTACTGCACCTAGGTTCTCCTCTCAACATCCTCAGGTGAATGATCTCAATTGTGTGTGCGGATCAGTGGGAGAACTATGTGAGATTGACTATGAAGAGCCAGCTATAATGTTTGGACGTGGTTGTGCGTCGGGTGTTAGTTGACCCCATCCCTCATGGGTTTCCCCACCAATGGGTCAGTAGGCACACATCGACCCTCCCGTCTCGGAACCTGATATGGATGTGGAGGTTGCACCTACGGTTCCCGATGCTAATTCTGCCCCTAATGCGGTAGTTGGAGATGCTTGTTAGACTCATGTTGTTGTGGCAGATCCTCCTCATGAGATCCCTTTGACACAGAATCATTCGAGTAGGTGTCTTAACTGCATGGTTATTGGGAGCTTACCTCCTTCCTTACATCCATTTCTTTCATTCTTTCCTCATTTCTCTGCTTATGTTGCAGGAGACATTCCTGAGAATGTGGATGTGCTCCCTATTACTGCGCAAGTGCACTATGGAGATGGATTCAGTGGCTCCAATAGTGTTGAAATTATGAATGATTCAGAGCCATATGAGATGGCAAGGGCTCTTGATTATGATGATGATCGTCCTGTTGGAGAGCTGACAAAGAGTGATGTTGAGATGCTGAGGCGTATCTTTCCCAGTCGCCGTGATCCAAGAGTTCACAAGTTCAGCGATCTTGCTCATTTCGATCAGGCATATGTAGAAGGACGTGATGATGAGCTCCTAGAAGCTCCTGAGGCTAGCCCTAACAAGGTAATTGAGAGTGGGAGGGTGTTCAAGGACCTCCTAGCATTGAAGAGGTGGTTGCAGACGTTTGCAGTGATACGAAAGAGACCTTACAAGGTCTTGCATTCATATGCGGAGCGTCATTACACAGTTGTGTGTGACAAGGAACGCTACCCATGGAGGGTTTGTGCAAGAAAGCAAAAGGTCATCGGAAAGTGGAAGATCATAAAAGTTGTTGGGCCACACAATTGTGCTGACCATGAGCTGACACTGAGGCATCGGCAGTTGACATCTACCCTCATTGCCAAGCGGTTGATGGGAATATTATAGGGAGAACCCAACATGAAGGTGGGGACAATTATCAGGACTGTTGAGGCGTTGTATGGAGGTTATGTGATAACTTATGGTAAAGCTTAGAGGGCTAAGCAGCGAGCGTGGAAGATGATATATGGGGACTGGGAGGATGGGTACGAGCAGTTGCCAGTACTTTTCAATGCAATCAAAGCGGTGAATCTAGACACGCATTATGAGTATATCCCAAAACCAAATGCACTGAAGGATGGGAGGCAGATATTCTTCCGTGCTTTCTGGTGCTTCCCTCAGTGTGTTGAGGCCTTTAGACACTATCGTCCCATCTTCTCCATTGATGGTACATTCTTGATTGGCAAATACCAGGGCACACTTCCTATAGCCATATCCTGTGATACGAACAACAAGTTGGTTCCTTTGACATTTGCTTTGGTTGAGAAGAAGAACAATGATAGTTGGGGATGGTTCTTGAGGCTAGTCCGGATACATGTGGTTGGGCCTGGCAGGGAGGTTGGCGTCATATCTGATAGGCAACATGGCATACTTAATGCCGTGCGAGAGCAGATAGAGGGGTATGCACCTTTGCACCATCGTTGGTGTACTCGGCACCTTACCGAGAATTTACTCTGGAAGGATGGTGTGAAGGGTAACTTTGATCTGTTCTAGGAGGCTGCTCGATAGCTTGAGGACAAGTACTATCAGAAAAAGTTGGAGCAGGTCAGAACTGCATCAAATGCAGAAGGTAAACAATGGCTCACAAGTTTGATGAGGGATTTGGAGAAATGGATGAGAGCTCACAACGCCGGTGGATGGAGGTACGAGTTTTAGTGCAGCAATATGGCAGAGTCATTCCATAAGTTGCTATTGGGGATACGTGGTATGCCCATGAATGCAATCGTTCAATTCACCTTCTATAAGCTTGTTGCCTGGTTCAACGATAGACACGCACATGCATTGAAGTTGTGGAGTGATGGAGAGATATGGGCTCTGAAACCAAAGGCACACCTAGAAGAAGGCAAATGAAAGGGCTGGCACACATGAGGTTACATGCTTTGACCACGCCACAGGGACTTATCAGATCGAGCATAGGGCGGTACAACATCTGACGGCGAGGTCCGAGAGTCGAGGATGCATGTGGTTGTCCTCCAAGATTTCAAATGCACTTGTGGTAAACCAAGGTAGTACCACTTTCTATGTTCCCATTTGGTGGCAGCAGCTAGGCATCGTAACTATAATATCGATAGTAGGATACCTCACGAGTTTAGTGTCGACACGCTTGTGCACACATGGAGCCCCCGCTTCGTGCCTTTCCGAGACCCTAGAGAGTGGCCTCCATATGATGGGCCAAAGTACATTACAGATCCAGCTTACCATTGGAACAATCGTGGATCAAGGAAGAGGACGAGGAGCTTGGCCCCTCTCAGCTCCATGACGCTCCCTCGACTCAGCCTACATAGCCTCTAGGCACTAGGCGACGCCATCCACCTGACCCTTACACTCCAGGTATGAGCGCTCTCAGTCACAAGGGTAAGGGTAAGACTAGGAGGCTATGAGGGTTGTGGTAGATGTTAGTATGCACTATTATGGATTTTGTATTTACTTTCCTATAACTATTTGGGACTGTATGGATATTGTGGACTATTTGGACTGTGCAGGACATGTTATGTTGATTGTGATGTTCTTTGTGGTTGCATTGTGCTCTTTGGATGATTAAATATTTGGATTATATAATGATGTCTCTGTTTGTAACTGTAGATGCTCCTGAAACAAGGGAAACTCTTGCGATTTTTTTTCCGTGAATCAGTAATCATTCTACACTGCTAAAAAAGGCACAGATGTAGTACACAGATTAAATGTAAATTCATTAGAACATGTATAGTCCAATCGTATCGTACAGACGCTTTGTAGATGAATCTAGGCTTTTTCAAGTAACAGTGAATGAATAAAGGCTTTTCAGACAATGAAAATAGACTTTTCAGTTACAAGAACAGCAGCGATTTATCACTTCACTGACATAGTACTGGTATGCAAGGAAGCACAACTCCACTCCATCTCCACCATCCATCTTATGACTGTTTGATCCAAGGGTTGAGGTGAAGAGGCACATGGATCGCTGACATGTCATATTGAGAGGCCTCCATTCCTCCTCTCAACCTATAAATAACCCCTCACTCCCTCTCATTCACACACACAACAAGGAAGAAGAGCACTCCTCAGCATTTTCTTTCATTGCAGTACCAATGTCTAGGAGAGTCGTCCAGAGGGAGAGGAAAGGGAAGAGAACAACCATTAGGTGG